TAGACGATATTCTTATAACTGGAGACAATCCCAAACTGATAAACAAGATCATAAATCAGCTCAATCAACATTTTCACATGAAACAACTAGGCGACGTTCACTCCTTTCTGGGCATTCACATTGATCGCACTACTAATCAATTCTTTCTTTCTCAACAGGCGTATGCGGAGTTTATCCTGCAGATTGCTCAACTTGGAGATTGCAAATCATTAGCTAATCCTACCTGCACGAAGACACCTACAACTCTGTCCACGGATCCGATTCTCAGTGATCCAGTTACATACAGGAGGCTGACCGGGTCTCTTCAATATTTAACACTCACACGATCTGATATCTCGTACAGCGTCAACCTGTTATCACAACAAATGCATCAACCGTTGCCTTACCATGCTTATCTCCTCAAAAGGATATTACGCTATATAAAAGGTACTATTCACTATGGTATTCCGATTACAAAATCTAACTTGCGGCTCTCTTCCTTTTCAGATGCAGATTGAGCAGGTGATCCTACATCCCGGAAATCCACATCCGGATTTTGCTCCTTTCTTGGCGACACGCTGATCTCCTGGACGGTGAAGAAGAAAACAACGGTAGCTCGCTCGTCCACCGAGTCAGAATACCATTCACTAGCCGCTCTTACAGCCGATGTGGTCTGGCTGCGCCGCGTACTCACTGGTTTCGGTATTCCTCAGTCGGTGCCCACAGACCTGCATTATGACAATACATCCGCCATTGCACTGGCTAATAACCCAGTGTTTCATGCATGCATGAAGCACATCGAAATAGACCACAGATTTGTTCGTGATCACATTCAACAACATACGATCCGTCTTCTTCCCATCAACACAATTGATCAGCCGGCGGATATATTTATCAAATCTCTCTCCACACCGAGATTTCAACACCTAAGACTCAAACTCAGTGTCACACCTCGACCCAACAGTTTGACGGGGGATATTAGAGACTTAATATAATAAATAATATATCAAATATATGGCCACATATGTAGCGACATCCTCTGTTACTAGAATCTATTTATAGGATGTAATATGCAAGGAGAAAGACAATAAAAGTTTTTCATTTTCTGTCTTAAGCTCTCGTCTTCTTCTTCCCTTCTTGTTCTTTACACTTCTATATAGGGTTGATTACGTGAATATTTTTTCTCTCATTGTGTCATATTAAGAGTGAAATTCTCATTTAAATCTAATTAAAAATATAATTTTTTATACTTTCCAATTAAGTCTTTTTAGGTCTTCCTTTACCTTTCTTAACATATGCCTGATCAAATAAATCTGCTCTCAAATCTAGGCATCAAAATGCCAACGTTTTACGTGATCAAACCATCTATTTCGACTCTCTCTAATCTTATCTACCATTAGAGCTACTCCAACATTTCCACGTATACACTCTTTTTGTATTATATCTCTAAGCATAAAATCACTGAGCATCTTCGTCTTTGCAATACTGAACTTAATTTTATGCTTCTCTTTTAACAACCATTTCGTATTTATAAAGAAATATTAATAACAATAATAAATTTTTATCCCACTTTCTGATGAATTTTCAACTTCTCATTTAGATATAATAAAAAAAATAGTTTAATACTTTCTAAACAATAAAATCAAAATTTTTATTTTTTGAATAGAGGAGGTTCTTATTCAAAATTATTACCGTTGATAATTTTTTATTTGGTTCTGATCTCTCCAATGCGAGCTTTGAGACAAAGGATCCCCCAATCCCTGATTCTCGCTGGCTATGTTTGGTTGCTTATAATATTAATTATTATTAATTTATTCGTATTATTTTATCTTTGAGTAAGTAAGGCCTTATTATATTCCTTAAATGTGGAAGGATTGGGTTCGGCTAGGCATGTCCAAATGTGTTTGGATTCGACTCGAAATTGACCCGTTTTGAACCCGTTTGGTCCAAATCCGATCTATTAGAGTAAACCAGCCAAAATCTCGAATCTAAACCCGACTCACTCTGCATCTAGTTGACTCAACCTAACCTGATATCATGCTAAGACAATAAACTAAAGTGCAATTATAACTCAAGTGAATGAAGCGACTCAATAAGCTAGTGCAATAAAAGCTTCGTTTGGGACTTCTTTTTTATTACTTTCTAAAGCAATTTTTTAGTACAAAATTTTTTTGAATGAGAAATTTTTAACCACATTAGTTGGAGTTATTTGGTTGCACTTATGGCAAAAATGCAATGTAAATCTTTATAAATAATTTATAGGGGGGATTTACATACATACCACTTTATTTCATACTATTTTTATATATAACGTCTAAAACTTTAATATTACATTCGTACCACTCATATAAAATTTTAATATCAAATATATCACTCATATATTTCATTCTTACCATCAATACCACCTTATAAATTTTAATATTTCATTCCATATGCTCATATTTGTTCTATGGATGGTTGACATGTAATATTACAGTTGTAGGTGTTAGAAATACAAATAATATGAAATTATTATAACAGCCAATATATATATTATACTGATAAGCATATTTTAATTTATATAAAAAATTAGAAAAATCACAATATAAAATGTAAATTTGCGACGAGAAATTGAAGAAGATCCACTAAATTTGTGGATAAGAAAACTAAATAATAATTTGCACTTAGAACAAAAAATGCTTTGAAATTGCAACACTTTGACTTTCTTTCTAAAATCTCGAAAGGCAAACATTTGATAGCCATAGGAATGTCTCCCTTTTTGTTGTGGAAGAAAAGAAAAGAAAAATAAGTTTGGTAAACAAATAAATTAAAAGATTCTTTGACAAATAGTGGCAATTTTGAAATAGAGGACAATTTGGAGTATCTTTATATATTTTAATCTCTTTATGCTTCACTTTCATCCCTTTTGAGGGCAGTTTGCCTTTCATTTTTCCACTTTGAAAAGCTTTAAAACATTCTCTAAGATAGGGCCTCTTTTTGTCTTTAATGCTATTTAATTCTTGTTTTATTGTCAATGTTTATCAATATATATGTTGCATGCAACAATGTCCCATTTGCATTTGTGATTGTCTTCATTCAAGTAGAATTATTTGATATTTTTAGGTAGATCAATTTCTTAAGAAGTATCATATATTATTTGTTTATTAAATATTTCTCAAACAATATATAACGATAAAAATTTGATCTTTATTGGTCACGAGTCATATCTTCTTGGTCACAAATCATGATAAAAATTACTTTGAAAAATAGTAAGAAAGTTGTCCCAAAAGAAGCATATATATATATTCGTTGTAATTTCTTCGAGAAATATGCCTAAAAGTTTCTTTTGGGCAAAATTGTCCTAAATGAGCTAGGGATAACCTCACGTATTCGTGGGGTTAAAGTCCTTTAAAATTGGTTTGAATGAATTTGAATTCAGATTGATTAGAATCTCAGATTTGAACATTGTTTCGAGTAATGCGATGTATATGCAATGAGGTTTTATTTGTCTTTGAGCATAAATTTATGAGAAATTTGACTATTTATATCTCATAATATATACGTAAACAGGCAAATATATCCATTACGTTTTGAACGAAATTTCCCTAAATGAAGGATAACCTCCTATATTCATGGAGTTAAAGTCCTTCGAAATTGGTTTGATTAAATTTGAATTCAAACTTATTAGAAAATCAACTTTGAACCTTATTTCATGCAATAAGACGTGCAAATTCTGAGGGTTTATTTGTCTCTCTCGGAAGGGAAAAGGGGAAGGTGTCGACGGTGAATTCGGAAGGTTCCATGAAGATGAAAAAAAAAAAAAAAAGATATACTGTTTGTAAGACTCTGCAATAAGCTTACCTAGTTTTGCAAGAACTATTAGATTTGATTAAAGATATCACTTTCATCAATAGAATATTTGTCACGGCAAAGTCTTTATCTGTGGAGTAAAGCATGAAACTTCCTTTGTGAACTCAACAATACTAACAAATAAATCATATTTAACTCTTTAAGTACATGAGAAGGGCCTCTGTTAGGCTTTCTTAACATAGTTTTTTAATGGTGATAGAAAGGTATTTGGGATGGACCAAATAACTTATAAGCCCTCTATTTTCTCTTTAATCCGTTATTCGGTTCACACTTAACATGTGATTTTATAATTAAATCACGTATAATTTTAGGGTGTCAAAACAGGTCAATGGGTCGCGTTCGGGGCCAACTCAAAATTGATTAGATCCACATGAACCCAGCTTGTTTGATAAATGGGTCAAAAAAAACAAACTCAACCCGACCCAATAGCTCGTTTTAATTTTTTATAAAAAATATTAGCTTATTAATCATAAATTTTATGTTAATTGAAAAAAAAAGGATCACATCAATAAATAAAAGAAATTAAGAAAAAAATATTGAAGAGATCAATTTCAGGTCAAACTCGGATTGATGGGTCAACCTGAATCTAACCCGTTCAATAAATGAGTTAGAATGTATGACATGAACCTCGCCCATTTATTAAAATGATAATTCAAATACTAATTTTTTCAGGTCGATTGATATGATGGTTCACCTCTGTATAGGTCAAAGCTAAATTATTGCATGCGGTGTCCGGAATCGTCTAGAGGCTAATTTGAATGCGTCATGTCACCCAATGCACAATTAAGTAGATGACATGATGCGTCCAAATTGACTTCCAAACAGATTCGGACTTCACACGAAATAATCTCTTCAAAGCTAAGGTGTAAAAAAAGTCAAATTTACATGGCAAAATTTTATAAATGATACTGTCCAGTGAGAAGGTTTTGCTAAATTTCAATGAGAATCAAAATCTTAACAAATATTTCCTGTCATTATTGAACAGATTGATAACTTAAACTTCCAATCAATCGATTACAATGAACTACTGCACATTAAATCTCTACTTTTTTATATAAATTTTCCAATAAAATAAGAAAGTTGACGCATGCCCATGTCACTGTCAAACCAGCACATGCTTCTTCCTATAAAAGCACAGTTTGTGGCTTCTGAACTCCTTCGACTGCCGGCCCTTTTCAAATGAATGTGGAGGCCATTTGCTTCTGTATTCGCTGGATTCTACTAGCTCTTTGTGATAATGCTTCGATAGCCCCCTCCCCATTTAGGGATTTCTCCATTTAGCGATCTTCCTGGATTCCATAAAGTATAATCTGCAAGCTATGGACTCGCTAAAGTTCGCTTCTTTAAGGCAGAAGCGTCCAAAGAGGTAGGCTTTTCTCGGTTACAGATCTTCTTTTCTTTGGAATGTTAGAGATTTGGCAGAAATAGGAGGATTTGTGTTGCTATGAGCTCTCTCATTGCTTATATTTTTGACAGTGATACTGAGAATCGACTCGAGGATGATTTAATGGAGTCTCCTTCCACATCTCGAAATCTACAGGAGGTAATTTAAAGCTAGCACTTTGTGCTTCTTCGGCTCTCATTTTTCACAAGTTCAGAGTATCGGTTCTTTGTTTTTGTTTCATAGATTTTAGTAGAGAAAAATGGAAATAGTGTTTTTCTTTAGCTTTCTGTGAATTAAGTAGTTTTTTTCTCTTCTGGTCTGAAGGAAATGGGGAAAGGTGAGTCTCATCAGATTGATATGAAGAAGAAGAAGCTGCCTGATACTAAGGTTCGAGGTTCTTTGAAGCAAGAGGTACCGAACAATGAAGAAATTATATTTTTTTGCTGTTTCTTTGTTGAAGACATCCTCATTGTATAGTAATTCTTCTGTTCCTTTGGTCTCCTGAGGAAACTTTAAGGGCACCTCACTGTGATTAACAAGTGTAGCATTTTCCAATCATATTAAGATGCAATAACCAAAATTTCTTTTGAATCTGTCAATTTTGCAGATTATGCAGCTTAAGAAACTGCTCAAGGATCAGTTGGCAGTTCGGCATGCCCTGGAGAAAGCATTGGGATATAAAGCAAATGTAAATGATTCTTCTTCCATTGAAGTCATCATACCCCTGGTACACTTTCTAGTATCTGCATTCTGTTCGTTTTTACAGAATAATAATGCATAGTATATTTTAAGAAGTTACTTCGGTTTCTTCCTAGTAGCAAGAACATAAATGAATGGTTTTAGTTGAGCATATGCTAAGGGCATCTCCAACTGAAAAATCCATTTTAGACTCTAAAATGCAGTAAAAATGGCGTAATTCATCTCCAATCGAACTTCATATCTTTCCTCTTTCATGTAATTCCTACGAAGGTAACCATCTCTCTCCTCTTTCGCACGCTTTTCTCCTCTTTCCCGCTCTTCTCCAGCAAATTCTCAAGCCAGGTTTTTTGGCGAATTGGCGTCGGACTGTTCACCTATCAAAGTTTAGCGTTAGATTTGGAGTTTGAATACATTGAATGGCGGACGGCATACGGTGATATGCAGTTTAGTTGGACATGATCTAACCCAAGTTAAAACTATTTGCATTACTTGATCAAAGTCAAGTATGATTGTCTTAATTTGCTGTGTAAAATTCACATAATAGATTTAAAGTATTTTGATCTTAAATGAACATAATGACTTGTACCTATTAGAAAAAAGAACCTATTACAAAAAAAAAAACAATAGATTTTGATTTTCTTCTATTTTTCTTTGATATGTTCGAACATTTTATTGTCATAACTTCAATGCTTTTATTTATCAGCCAGCCAAAGAGTTAATAAGGGAAATTGCAGTGTTAGAGCTTGAAGTCATGCACTTGGAGCAGTATCTTCTGTCACTGTATCGCAAAGCTTTTGATCAGCAAGTGACCATTGCATCCCCTGCTGTTCCACCCAAAACAAGATTGAAAGCACCAATTAGCTGCCAAAGGATGCTTTTTCAAGTTCCTAAGCCTGAAATCTCTTCCAAGAAAATTCCAGTAGTCAACTCTACTCGCATATTACCATCTCAAATGTCAGCCAATAAACTAGCAGATGAATCCTGTTGCGAAAACCTCACAAATCTCAGTATTAACCGTAGCCATTCTGCACTCAATCATCGTGCAGTTTATTCGACTAGAATCTCTCCTTCTGAAGAGCCAATGCCATTTCTGAAAGTAACTAATTCCAGTCTTAACATTTGTCAAGTAAATAGTTTTCATCATCAAAAGTTCTTCTCTTTTTCTGCACTTGTAATGCTGAAGTCTACCTTTGTTAACTCAGGATGATCATGGCACCATCTCTGGTGTAATAAGCCTAGCAGAATATCTTGGCACCAGCATCGCCGATCATGTTCCTGAGACACCAAACAAGATTTCAGAAGATATGGTTAGGTGCATGGGTGCCATTTATAGCAAACTTGCAGATCCTCTTCTGGTTAATAATGGTCCTGTGTCATCTCCTGCTTCATCACTATCTTCCATGAGTGCCAGTTCTCCACAGTACATTGGAGATGTGTGGAGTCCTGGCTGCAAAAATGAATCAAATCTTGATATAAGGCTTATAAATCCTTATCGGATAGAGGGATTGAAAGAGTTCAGTGGTCCATACAATGCCATGGTGGAAGTGTCATCAATTAACAGGGACAGTCAGAGGTTCAAGATTACAGGAGACTTGCTGGATACTTACAAGTAAGTTTTTTTGTTCCATTCTGCTAATTTCAACCTGTTTATGGTAGTAGAATGTTGTCACAGTAAAATAGGTGATATTCACTACATAATATTAGCTCAAACTAATGAGATGCTGTCATGGAAAGTTTTGCTCCACCAATTCTCACTCAAAGAAACGACTAAGTTGAATGTAGGACAAAATTGGTTCAAATTTGTTGAGTTAAGAGACTAAATTGAACACTTTATAAACTCTAAGGCTTAGTTTGGGACGGCTTTTTCACTGCTTCTTAAAGTAGCTTTTTAGTATAAAAATTTTTATTTTTAAATTAGAAAACAATTTTAAGAAGCAATAAAAAAGCCGTCCCAAACGATGCCTAAGATTAATTAGATGCCTAAAAAGTTTAGGGTCCAATTTGGTCATTTACATGGACAAAAATGGTCGAGCTGTTATTCAAGAAATTTGCTTTGAAGAAATTGCTTTAAAATACAATTTTGAAACCAAGGTTTCATTTGGGATGGCTTTCTTACTGCTTTTTAAAGCAGCTTTTTTGTACAAATTAATTTTTTTTACTAAAAAACTATTTTATAAAGCAGTAAAAAAACCGTCCCAAATGAAACCTAATTCACAAAACAACTTTTGAACAGCAAATTTTCATGAAAAGGAGAAGGCCAACCATAACAAATTACTACTTGACAAGATCTTCATCATTACGTTAGTAATGCTAAATTTTCCATTTTGTTTCAGATCTCTTGTTCAAAAGTTGGCAACTGTCGATGTAAGCAAGATGAAGAATGATGAAAAGATGCCCTTTTGGATCAACTTACACAATGCTTTGATGATGCATGTAAAGTTTGCCTTTTATGAATATAAGAGCTCTCTTTTAATTTTCTTTTTTGTTTTTTGAATCTAGGCAATCATAATGAAGATATGTCTATCTTCTCCTAGATGCTGAGTTACCTGTTTATTAATTGTTCTTCAGGCATATTTGGTGCATGGAGTTCCTCCAAGTAGTTTAAAAAGAACTTCACTGCTCGTCAAGGTAGATAGTTTCAGTGGCTCATTTTAAAATAAGAAAAGAAAAGAAAGTGCATTATAATACTTAAGCGCTAATATAACTGCTACATTGTTTATTTTAGGCCACATGCATAGTAGGAGGCCACTCCGTAAATGCCGAAATGATTCAAGATTCATTTCTTGGCTGCCGTACGCGTTTATCTGGACAGGTTGGCGAATTTTTTTTTCTCTCAACTAAATTTACTGAATAGTATACTTACCTGGATGGGGCTTTATGGGTGATCAAGAATGCCTGTGGCCTAGAATAACGGCCTTCATTGCACTTTGAAGGGGCGCTGGTTTACCATATGCCCAAGTGGTAGAGTGGACGTCATAATTTGTGTATGCAGCTCATCTTGATCACATAGTTGAAAACTTTTGCTAGCAACTAAGAAATCTTACTTGTGTGCTGTGTATACGAATTTGTCTTCAATTGATCAGAAGTTCAAAAAAATTAAAAAAATTAAATTTTACTGAATAGTTTTCTGTTTGGTGCTTTGCATGCAAAAGTAATTGTTTATTGTAGAAATGCCTGTGCATTATGATGTGCTGGGAAACTACTTCTGAACTTATTTTATAAGATTCATCTCTGACATATCACATGATTTTCCCCCCAAAACCTATAAAAAATATGATCAACAACTTAGGCTTCGTTTGGAACCGCTTTCTTTCTGCTTCTCAAAGCAGTTTTTTAAAATTTTTGTACTCGAAATCTGCTTTAAGAAGCAAAAAAAAAGTCATCTGAAACAAAACCCTTGCGTACTTCGGGTTGGCAACTTGAACAAAAGCAGCTAGTTTTTCTTGTTTCTTTATTTTGTCAGCAAGTCGATGCTAATGCCAATTGTTTGGCTAAAAAACACAAAAAAAAACTCAGCTTCTGTTATTCTTTGCAGTGGCTTCAAACATTTAAGCATCCAAGGATTAAGTTTAAGGCCAGAGATGAAAGGAGAAGGTTCTATGCCATTGAGAAAAAGGAACCTCTCCTTCATTTTGCATTATGTTCTGGAAGCCATTCTGATCCTGCAGTAAGTTTTCATTTATATCTCATTAAATATGAAATACTGTGAAGTTTATCTTACATTTAATTTCAAATCTCTCTTTCAGGTCAGAATATATACTGCAAAGAGATTATACCAGCAACTAGAAACAGCAAAAGAAGAGTACATTCGAGCTACAGTTGGTGTTCTGAGAGAGAAGAAAGTTCTTCTGCCTAAACTGATAGAATCTTATACAAAAGATATCTGTGTAAGTTCACAGAAGACCGTTGATATGATTCAATGCCATCTTCCTGAGACTATGCGGATCGCAGTTCAGAGATGTCAGCGAGGAAGATCTCAGAAGATCATCCAATGGGTGCCTCATAACTTCAGTTTTCGTTACTTGTTATCAAGAGAAGTGGCAAATCCTCAGATCATCTGAATTTTGCTCTGATTTTAGATTGTGGTGATTGTCTTCTTGTTCCTTTTTTTTTTTTAATTTAATTTCTTCTTTGCTGTTGTACAAAGCTGAGTAAAAATCCATGAGGAATGTACTCTTTGTACATAAACTCGCTAATTTTTTGGCAAAGTTTTAGTCAGATAGTTCTGTCAGTTTTCTAGTCTATTGAGTTGTTGGTCGTTTTAGTATTTATGGAAGAGTGTATGAACAAGATTGAATTTACAATTTAGGACCTGATCTAGATTGTATGGAATTTTTGCTTATTGGAAATATCAAACTAATTTTGATGAATTCATGCTTGATAATATTTTTGAGAAGAAGTTAAAATTCTTGTTTTGATAAAAAATTTGAAGTAAACTCATTTTAAATTGACTTGTAGAATGACAAATATGAGATTGAAGATATAGTGGAGGTGGTTGACTAGAGATTTCCTCGTCTTTCATTTCATTCACCAATTATGCATAAGGTGCTTATAGAGGACTAGTAACTTAGGTTTTATTTGGAATAATTTTTTTACTGTTTCTTAAAATAACTTTTTAGTACAAAGATTAAAATTTTTATTTTGAAAAGCTTCTTTAACAAGCAATAAAAAAGTTATCCCAAACAAACAGTTAGTAAGAGATGGATAGAGGATGGTAATTCAGCCGATTCTATTTTTAGCTCATCATTGTTGATGATGTTGATATGACCCTTAGTTGTAGTTTTTTTTTTCTTTTCTTTTCTAAGTGCTGGAGACTTTTTTTAAAATGGAAACATGACCAAAATTCATTCAATAAAAGGTAGAATACAACCAAATTCAAAAGAGAAAAATTAGAATACAATGTTCAAATCAGCAAATCAAAGAAAACAACAGCCGAACTCAAGAACTAGCTCGGGCCTTCATACAACAAACCAAAAGTCAGGCAAGGACAATCCATAGGAGGCAGCAAGTACATAATAAGCATCAACCCACATCATAAACAAAGGCCACCAAACAAAATGAGAGAATGAGCCACCAAGGTTGCTAGCAAGCCAATGACTTACAGTGGTTGTGTAGAAGGCCGCCTCATCATTCTCGAACCAATAACATAAAGCTCAAAATTGAAAAACTTAGCAGCCAGCAGAACAAAAAGGTTAGATCAGAGGCCCAAACAACAAATGACATATGTCAATTATTTCCTTTTCGACCTCCGCCTACAACGTTTGGCAACACGATTGAATTGAATGTTTTAAGCACAACGACTAACATTCAAACTATGGTACTTAGTTGTAGTTATGGCAAGTTCAAGCATATATCAGGTTTAAGTTGCATTAATACTTCTTTGGACGATGATAATTATGTCACTATGAATCTTTGACAACTTCCAAATGTTGAGTTCTGATGCCTATACTTCTTTGGATGTCTGATGCCTATACTTTTTGGATGTTGCGCCAGTACAAGTGGCAGTCTAACTCGTGGATGTTCCATCGGAAAATAAGCGATATTTTTTCCAGCGGAAATAATGCCGGAAATTTACCGGCTGAAAAAACGTCGGTAAAACTGCCGACGTTTAATTCCGGCGAAATTTACATTGAAAAACACTGGCAGAACTTGCAGCGGAAATACTGGCGGCAAATTTTAACTGGAAAACCCAACGGATAAAAAGTCGGAACTCATGCTAGGGAAACAACATTTTTGCTGACCTTTTCCTGTCAAAATTCAGCCGGTAAGTTCATCAAAAAATTTTCCGATTGATAATTTTTGCCGAAATAAACTTTTGGACGCAAAATTTATCATTGTTACCGGTTGATTTTGTTTGCTAGTAACAAACTATTTTCTTGTAGTGCTTGATCTTGAATAGTTATATTTGAACAACACATATACAATTACATAAAAGTGTTTTTATAATATTAATGAGGCTTATAGCCAAAATATATATATGAAGAACACATCTTGACTACTTGATTAAAGGTAAATATATGCGAAGTTGTTTATTGACTTCATTAGGGGTGTCAATTCGGGTCAATGGGTCGGGTTCGGGTCGAACCCGGAACTGACCCCGCACTATTCGGGTCAACCCAAACCAGACCCGTTTTTTAAAAACGGGTCAGGATTTCGGACCCGAACCAGACCCGATTCGGTTTCGTGTCAATCTGACTCGACAAGAATGACCCGGGGGTTGACCCAAAATTGCTAGTTTTTGGGTCAAAAATTGGGTCAATCTTCGATTTTCGGGTCAAAACGGGTCAATCTCGGGTTTTCAGGTAAAATATGAATTTTCGTGACAATTTCAGGTTGCTAGGTCAACCCGAACCAGATCCGATTTTTAAAACGGGTTGATTTGTTGAACCCGAACCTGACCCGTTTCGGGTCCGGGTTGACCCGAACCCGGATTTTTCCGGATCTGATTCGGGTCGTGTCAAAATTTGACACCACCCCTAGACTTCATTGTGGCTTGTCGAGTAGCTTGGGAGCAAATTCAATTCGTGAGTTATTTAAAAAGGTTTGGCAAGTATGTGAAATAATATTTTTTTTTTCCTTCATTTGTCTCGTTCTACGTTGCTTCTCAGAAAAGATGTCCGTTCGAAGCCTGAACGGTTAAAATCTTAAAAGCCTCCCGTTATTTGATCTCATTGGACCGTCGAGGAGCAGGTAAGCAAATATGACTTAGTTTCCATCTCTTTCTCCATTTGACCACAAATCCAAATCATATTTGTTCATTGTCTCATTCATTATCTGTCTCTTCCTGAGCTCAAAGGCCATCGTCTTCTCTTTATAAAGCAGTCCAATTTCCATACCTTACCAGCAAGAACAGAGCAGAGTAGCAAAAATGAGCCAGCTTTCTGTTGGAGTTGTCGCCTCGGACGGGTCAGAATTGATAGCATTCAGCGAAGAAGAAGAAGCTCTTGTGTTGAAATCATGGAACGCAATGAAGAAGGATGTAGCTACGCTTGGTCTCAACTTCTTCTTAAGGTAAGATGTGAAAGCTTTCATCTGCAAAAAGCTAGCTCTTTTACTGAACTTCACAACTTGTATTCATTTTCAGGATATTTGAGATTGCACCCTCAGCTGCAAAGCTCTTCTCCTTCCTGCGCGACTCACAAATTCCATTAGAGAAGAACCCCAAGCTCAAAGTCCATGCAATGTCTGTCTTCATCATGGTAGTTTGCAAATCATATGTCTTCACTGGTGCAGAGTTCATGATCACCATTATTGTTTTATAAAGATAATTGCTGTGATTGCAGACATGTGAAGCAGCAGCACAGCTCAGAACTACTGGGAAGGTTACAGTGAGGGAAACAACATTGAAGAAGATTGGTACCAAACACGTCAAATATGGTGTACTTGATGAACATTTCGAGGTATTACCACCATGAATACAATCTCTAAACTACAATATTTTGCTACTTGTATGTGAATTACTTTATCTGTGCTTACAGGTTACAAGATTTGCATTGCTGGAGACAATAAAAGAGGCCGTTCCTGATATGTGGAGCGCAGAGATGAAGACTGCATGGACTGTAGCTTATAATCACTTAGTTGCAGCTATAAAGGAGGAGATGAACTCCCTTCCTTGAGAGCTTAATTGGTTTCTGAATTCTGTCAGCATAAAAAGAAGCTAGCTGTTGAACTTAGTAGTAATTTTCTTAATCAATATTTTTAAAAAGAAGCTAGCTGTTGAACTTAGTAGTAATTTTCTTATCTAAATATATTTAATGATATCTATATAGTATAAATAAATCCTAAATAATAATAATAATAATAATAAATCATATTAAAAGTCATACGATGGAAAATAATGAGAGATGGATGATGTTATCATCTTACCTATAAATGATACCAAATCGCAAGTTACTTTGTACAACTTGCGGTTCGCTCCAATTTTGATCGCTCGGTTCAAAGTTAAGACGCTTCTTAGTTTTGAATAGACCGATTCCTGATTGAACGAACCGGTTCAATCCCATTTTTTAAAATTGATCATAAATTTGGACAATGTCGGTTATGATATTTCAGGCAATGTATGATAAACATATAAAAATAAATAATTTTATTCAAAATATAAAATTGAAACTGCCTTTGATGCACTTGAAATATTTTTGTAATTTTAAATAAATATATTTTTATCTTAATAAATATTTTGCCTCTCAGAATATTTTTTAATCATTTTTTAATTGCTTAAGTAACAAAAAATCTGACAGTACTCAAATACTCCATAGTAATTGTGCTTTGTACAAATACTCACATGAATATGATGTGAGAAATCCTCCTCTCCTTCAAAACTGATCTTCCCCATTAATACAGTGAAGAAGCTTATCTTTCAGAAATCTAACAGCTCATCAGAGTCATGAATATCATGTGATATCTGTCCAAAGTCCTATGGGCTTATCAGTTCACCAAATTAAAGGTATTTGTTCTATTATGGCATCTTTAGTTTAACCGAATGTCATTCGCCCGTTTGCAGCTTCGGTGAGTGCCACCCGAACGGCAAATGGAAATACATTTTTACATTTTATCTTGACTGTAAGCAGTGTAATGTCAATATTGACGTCGCACTATTCAAAACTCAATATTGGTGCTCGTCTTCCATCCACTTCGTCTCGAGCAAGTCTAGCAGCCTTTCCTCCATCCGCTCAGTTACGTCCGAATCGTGTTAGAAATGGAATTTGATTGGAGAAAAATTATTTTTCGATATGATGGTTACTGTATTTTACAATTTTACAAAATATGATTAACGGAAAAGAAAATTCTAATAGTAATTTTGCAATTTGTAGAATTAAAATGAGTCAAAACTTACCTTTTAAATAATCAATAACATACCCTTTAAATCAAATTTATTTTCAGAAGTTATGAAACCAAATCACATATTTTATAACTTTTGATTACTACTTAATTAATAAAAAATGCATTAAATGAGCTGTGAAGGTTGATGAAACTCTTATGGCTCTTAGATTACGCATATCTCCAATTCCCTAAAGAAACAAAGGAATGTGTCATAGTACATTTAATGCATGCTGTGCCGTGTGAGTAATTTCATCCTATAATTCATAAATATATTTTATGATACATTTTGTATCTTTATAGGATTATTTTATAGCATGTCTTTTATTTATTTATTATTATTCTTATTATTATTTTGAAAGATGAGGGCCCACCCCATCAATTTCTATTGGTATCACTAAAGTTTCGTATGAGATTGCTCTTTTACTGCATCTTAAATCCGTTTTCTAATACAAAAACTAATGCTTCGTTTGGGACGGCTGTCTTCTTGCTTCTTAAAGCGGCTTTCTAGTACAAAAATTTTAAATTTTCTATTAAAAAGCTGTTTTAAGAAGCATGAATAAAGCCATCCCAAACGAAGACTAAATTGGCTAATTTAAGAAGCAGTAAAAAAAAACTAATTTAAGAAACAGTAAAAAAACAGTCCCTAACGAAGTGTAAGTTATAAGAGTGATTATAAAAGGCTCAAAAAATATTTTTTTGGTGGAAAATTACCTAAGAAATTCAAAATAACATAAATTGAGAACCTCCAATGAGAAAATAATGAACATAACAAAAGTAAAAGCTCCTAAGTTAAGAAAAAAAGCTTTGAGAGAATTAAAGTGATCTATAAATAGGTGTACGTAGTTCCATCCAAAAAAAATGTGTTAAAACGATGACGAAATGTTTGATTGAACTGTGATCTGATGGTTCTCATCATCGCTTCTCAAAGATAAAATTCTTCAAAGCTACAATGAAGCACAAAAAGGTGTAGCCATGGAGATAGAGCTATTGCAAAATATTCATAATTTTGGTACAATCACTAGCTTTAATTTTGGAGTCTATAATGACACCAAGATAAAAACTAAGAGAGGCTTTAGGAGAAGCCCAAATTAAATGTTACCAAAATGATTTTTTAAGGTTATCATCTCTCATTTGAGTCAAGATTATGTTGTGCTTTACATATATAACATCATTCAGTATGATTAATAAAATCTTACTTGTTTCGACTCGAATAATTGAATCATTAGATCATGTATGGTCCACCTTTGGATTTCTAGCCTTCTTCCATGGTTTGTTCCTTATAGCCAACACTCATTACTCTATACTCTATCATCTATAAACTTACTCTTCGAATCATTAATATCTCACGAGATGCATTCTTAATGGATGATCTAATATTTGCTATATTAATCATATAACAAGTTATATTTACTATTTTAGCCTACACATATTTAGATAGGTGATATTCACTTAATATTATTCTTTTCATATCTAATAAATTTTTATTCTTCCTTTCAACCACACCATTCTACTATTCTGTCATAAGTGTAAAATATTTATGTCTAATTTCAGCTTCAAAACAAAAATTTTCAATTTGTTTTATTTTTAAAATTCTTCTTCATGATCACTTTTAATTGATATAATAAATAGTTCTTTATTTATTTCTCTTTGAATTCACCTTACAATTTTTATAAATTTAAAAATTACATCACTCTTGCTAACTAAGAATACTGCCCAAGAAAATATGGGTTAATCATCAATAAAATATATACATACTTCTTTTCTCTTAAACTAGCAAGTATGATAAATGAATCATTTTTCTCATTTATTGAGATCAAGGGTCCCTTCATAAAGAGATTATTATGAGTACAATGAAAACATTATTCTTGTTATAGTCCCTATATATGGCATGGAGATAACCATAGCCTTCGCCCATATAAATAAAGGAAAGAAACTAGCATCATGATTGATATAGCCTAAGAAACAACAAAATAAGGAAGAGAGGGATTCCATTCCAAACAAAGGTTTGATAAATACTAATCTTTTATATGATGTAGGGTTTGTAAGATATTTCATTGTCTTGCGAAGAAATGTTTGATTAAGCACTCTAATATTAGAAAATCAAATGTGATGCGGTATACAATGGGAGAAGCAGAACACTAAGAACCAATAGAAAAGACACCAAGAAGGCTTTCTGCCTGAAGTATATTATCTGTAAAACTGTCCGCAACCTCCTCCCAAGAAGGAGATATACAAACGACTTCTACTGGAGGTCCTTCCTCATACAAAATAAGCTAGTTAATGGAAAAGCGAGTTATGTACTATATTACCTAAGAAGGAAACTAAGGTAGTGGCAAAAGCCACGGTATAACAGAAAGCTAGCAAAGCAACTAACAAGACAATATAAAATAACTAAGACCATGAGTATAAAATGGCCACATATGACCAGAGACTCGATGCACTGCATCAAAATATGTCTAACAAAACTATTCACATCTAATGTTTTTCTTTTCACCACTTCATAGTGCCCGACATTAAGGACTACTATTACACCTCTAAGGATTTGGTTAAGAAGATGTATCATGATGGAATTCTATAGCTAATATATGATTATCTTGAGTGCTCCAAGAAGCTATATGCGGTATAAAGTTACCACTCACCCATTCTTATTAGTCCATCCTCTCTTAGCTCTAATGGTGATGATAATTAATTATCTTGATGATTAGTCAATGATCCAAATTCCTCGAGTTTGAGGCGAGGCCCCACTAAGGAAAATATGCATGATGATTGACTCTCCCTCCTTTTGATTAATTTGATTTGTGTTAACATTAGATTTAGCTTCGAATTTATCACAATTAGTGTACTAAAAAAAGATAAATAATTTGACTAGCATAGTTGAAATACCCAAAATTTGGCCTTGTAATCATATATGGTTCAAGATAGCATCTAGTACTCAAGTATGTAAGACTTTTACCCAAGCAAGTTTATAAATCATGATGTTAGTCTATTTCAAATAAATCAAGAAACCTAGTTCAAACCTTTGCTTTGAAGCTAATGCCCAAATTATACATTCGAAAAAGGAGTTCAAACTCAAAATATGAGGTTGAGATCGTTGATGGAGATGCTTGAAAGTGAAAAGTTTGAGTTGTGATTATGTTCGAATGATTATGTTAGCATGAGGAGAAATTATTATATGTGGTCACCGAACTGTCCGGAGGTGAATCAGGATGCACCACGTCACCCGGTACATAGTAAAAAAAGGATGTGTCACGCCTTGATTTGCCTCCGGATGACATCTGATGACCGCATAGAATAATTTCTCCAGCATGAGGAACTCTCTCTCTCTCTCTTATTGTAACATAAAAATATTTTAGTCTAAAAGTAAATATTGGGCATGCCTTTAAATAAAATTATAAAAAGTGTATTTATCTAATTATAAGCATTATGAGATTATGTAAAATCTAATTTCTCTATGATCATAAGGCATATTACTTTGAATAGTTTATCTTTTTTTAATTTTTTAGATGGTTCATCATATTTCATATTTAATAAGTAATTTTATGAACTCCAAATTAATTTTTTTTGGAAAATAAAGTACAATTAATCAAATCAAATTAAACAAAAATAAGCGTGACCTCCACCTAAATCACGTGACCTCTTGGCTCCTTCCCCAACCCCACTCGACTTCTTAATTCCTCAATTCTCACCCCATTCAAGCTTTTAACGTCTAAATCACGTGACCTCCACCACCTCCTCCTCCTCCATTCCCTCCTCTTCACCGCTAGTCCTTCCATGCCTACCCATCCACTCCCCCATTTCCCTCTACACCTGGCCGTTACTCTCCTCTCGCTCCTCCTCCTGTCTCCGGTCATCTCGACGCCACCGCAGCCCCACCATCCTTGCTCGCCGCATCCCGCCGCCGGCCTTCCCTGTCCCCCTTTCCCTTCCCCACCCTCCTCCTTCCCCTTCTCCTCCTCCCCTGGCTGCGGCCACCCTTCATTCCAGATCCAGTGCTCCTCTCCCTTCTCACTCATCTCCATCCACTCCACCTCTTTCCGTATACTAGCTGTTCACCCCAACAACTCTATCCTCCTCGCCCCCCTCCTCACAATCTCTTCCTCGCCGACTTGCCCTGCTCTCCCCCTTTCGCCTCTCAACCTCTCCCCCTTTCGCCTCTCCGATGAGACCTGCCACTCTCTCTCTTCCCTTCTCCCGTGCCACCAGAACGTCTCCTCATGCTCGCTCTCCCCTTTCCACCTCCGCCTCGCCGCCGATCCTCTCTCCCTCTTCCCAGCATGCCGTCGCTCCCCTGTTGCCCCTTCTCGCCTTTGCACCCCAGATATCCTCGCATTAATTTCCACCTTCCTCACCAATGGCGTCCTCGTTGAATGGAACCCCAGAACGGACCCCTACTTCGCCAAGTGCTCCGACTGCCGCCAGTCAGTAACCGGCCTCTGCGGATTCAATGACTCCTCCCCATCGAAACCCTTCCTTTGCTTCCCTTCCCCTTCCCACCTACCACACCATCACCGAAGTCGATTAATCCCAGTCTTCGTCGCCGTTTCCTCCGTCATCTTCCTCTCCACCTGCCTTGTCATCGCCGCCTTTCGCCGGCGATGGGATAGCACCTCCGTCTCCGATTTTCTCGACCGGCACCAGATCCAGCAGGCCCCGATCTACACTTACGAGCAGCTCAGGTCCTGGACTAACGGATTCGACTCCCGCCGCAAGATCGGCGACGGCGGGTTCGGAGCAGTGTACTTGGCACAGCTCGAAGACGGCCGCATTGCCGCCGTGAAGCGGCTTCACCGGCGGCCGGGTCAGCCGACGCTTGCCGCGGCGGCGTGTACTCGCTCGTTCTGCAATGAGATCAAGATCCTCTCCTCTCTCCGTCACCCCAATCTCGTCCGCCTCCATGGCTACTGCTGCGATCCACGCGGCCTTGTCCTCGTCTACGACTACGTTCCGAACGGAACCCTAGCCGACCATCTCCACGGCACGCGCAGCCTATACCGTAAGGTCGCCCTAACCTGGCCCGTCCGCGTCGACATCGCGCTCCAAACCGCCGCCGCCATGGAATACCTACACTTCGCCCTTAAACCCCCCGTCGTCCACCGCGACATTACATCGAGCAACATCTTCGTTGAGCGGGATATGCGTATCAAGGTCGGGGACTTTGGTTTGTCGCGGCTCCTCGCCGGCGGAACGGCCTCCGCCGGAGGTGGTGGCGTAGCGTTCGCGAGAGAAGATGGAGAGGATGGATGCTGTACAGGGCCGCAGGGGACTCCCGGTTACCTAGATCCGGAGTACCATAGGACGTTCCGTTTGACGGAGAAGAGCGATGTGTACAGCTTCGGCGTGGTAATGATGGAGCTCTTGACAGGGATGAAAGCGGTGGATGCGAGGAGGGACAAGCGGGAGGTGTCTCTCGCGGAGATGGTGGTGGGGAGAATTCAACTAGGGGAGCTTAGATTGGTGGTGGATCCGGTTCTGATGCCCCCTCCTGGAGAGGAGATTCATCTGGCGAGCATTGAGGCCGTGGCGGAGCTCGCTTTCCGGTGCGTCGCCGGTGAAAAGGATGATCGGCCCGACGCCAGGGAGATCGTCGGCCACCTCTCTCGCATTCGATCAATGCTTCAGCAACCGCCGCCACCGCTGCAGACCAAGATTACGTAAGCATCAATTCATCAATTGAATTGAAGATTTTGACCCTCCATCGACCGATCGATATGATTTCTCGCTGCAAGTAATTCCAGAAACTATCATTGAGATTGGAAGGAGCTGTTAGGGTTTATCGATTCGATCTGGTGAAAGGGGTTCGAGTGAACCATTCGAAGACGATACTGCTTTGCTGAGCTTGGTTTGTTAAGGAGGCTGCAACAAAGCATCATATGCAAGCCATTCTCTGTAATGCTTAATACTTGATGCTGGTTTTAATGATCAATGGCTAATGTATTTCTACTACAGTAGATCCTCTCTAGTAGGAGAAATTATTACTTGCATTCAGACTCATTGGAGTTCGAACTTGAGCTACATCTAGACTCCATACGTAATAATTTTTTCTATGTTAGGGTTGTAAATGAATTGGGTCGAGTCGTGTATCCATCTAATCGAGCTTACTTTATTTAGTTCTGACTGAGCCTGAGCTCATTTACTAAGTTCAAGCTCGATTACTAAGCTCAAGCTCGGCTCTTTATATAAGTTGGACCTCGTTTGGAAAGCTCGAGCTTGACTCGGTTGTTGAGCTAGATTTTTTAGTTTTACATTAAATTTTTTAAAAAAATTTGGATTTTTTTTTTAATATGGAATTAATTTAAAAAATTACAATATATTTCTAAATTTAAATTCTTTTTTAAAATATATTTAAAGCTAATCAAATGGCTTAAAAAACTTATTAGTCTAGCCAGGTTGAGCTCGAACTCAAGTTCGTTTAATATACACGCTCAAGTATATGCTAGCCGATCTGTCAGCTGGCTCGGCTCATTTAGGTTTTGTTTGGGACGGCTTTCTTACTGCTTTTTAAAGTAGCCTTTTAGTACAACAAATAAAATTTTTATACTAAAAAACTGTTTTAAAAAACAATAAGAAAGCTATCCCAAATGAAATAAATAAAATATTTAAATTTTATTAAAGCTTTATTTGGAATAGGTTTTAAACTATTTTTTTATAAGAAAAATAGTTAGTAAAAAAATAATGTTCTTGGAAGATAGCTTTTTCACAATTATTTTAAATTTTTATCTTAAAAAAATTGTATTTTAAAAATATTTTAAAAATTGCGATTGAAAGTGGCTTTAAAAAGCAAAAAAAAATCTTCCGAACTTCATCGTCACTCGACTACGGATCACTGTCGGTCGACTACGGTCTTTGAACAGCCATCGTTTGACTACCATCCTTGTCTATTGGCTCTGATCCTTCCAATATCTCTTACCAGCCGATTGCGATTCTCCGACTATCATCGCCTGAGGATGATCTTTTGACCTCCATCAATCTTCCAATTACTTCCCTCCAACCACAGTTTCCAACAATCGTCCCACGATGATGGTTTTCGAACCATCTTGGTCTGACTACAATCAACAACTACAATCCTTCGAACTACTGGTGGACCACTACGATTTCTTCAAATTAACTATCGTTGCCTAACTATACAACTTTGGCCACTGTCCTCTAACTATGATCCACGGACCTATAACCTTTTGATCATTATTGCATGTCTACTCTTCTGCCTACTAACTTCATCATCTACCACCATTAGTAATGCCAACACACACCGTCATTTATAGGATCAATGCACACCATCAATATCAACTCTATCTCTCAACTTTAGCATTTGGATGTATGCTGTATTCCTGCCAAAATGCTCTTCCAACTTTAACCAAGTAATATGCATTTATCACTAGTAGAATGAGAGAAGGCAAATACAATCAATCTGATTCTATAAGCACAAATAATGGCTTGAGCGGGTTGCGTGGGCAGCTGGGTAGGCAGCGCAGCGGCGCACGGGATGGCGAGTGCTGGCGGATGGGCAAGCGGGCTATTGGGTCGGGCACGGGTTGCTGGGCAAGCAGCACATGGGCGCGTGAAGCCGATTGTTGGGGCGGGATCGGGCAGCTAGCTGGGCAAGCAACACACGGGCAAGGGTAGCATCCCGGGCAGGCTGGCCGGGCAGCGCAATTTTTTTTTTTTAATTTTCTGGCGGCCTATTTCCACCGAAAGGCCACCGAAATTATTTCCCGTCGGAAAAAGCCCAGAAAATGAACAATTTCCGCATGTAATAGATGATTTTCTTGTAGTGAATCGAATGATTTTGTTGAGGTGAGTGGTCCTTAGGACGTTGACTAAATTGAGTTGGAGATACTCAACAACGATGATCACACCCTTGGTCAGATCATCAAGGGCAAGTTTGCACACTATGATCTCCACAAGGGAGAGTGGTCCTTTCCTCAAGGTCTTCTAGCGGCTACTGCTCTGTCGAACTATCCTTTGTGCTAGCACCACTTTGACCACGTAATCCCCTCGACCAAATTCTTTGATCAGAACCTATTTATGCACCTCCGATTTACTTGCATGGGCATGTATGACACAAGGTACATCATATATATCAATTACAAATAGAACTCCAAAAGATACAACAAAGGTACCAAAAGATTGTAAAAAAGAAACTTATTATTTATGTTTGATGATGTTTGACTCGATGATTAGCTCAAGTTAAAAAAATATTTATAAGCTCATTTATTTAATGAACTAAACATAAAAAAAGGTTTTATTTGATTGTGTTCAACTTAATATTGGCTTGATTATATTATTTGACTTTATATGTTGAAATTAAAACCATATAGTGCTTCAATATTTGCTCAAAATCAAACACAAGTTAAAAAGTGTCCTTAAGCGATGGAATGTTGTGAGGTATTATTACCCTCTTACTACTTCAAATCACACCAAAATTAATCTAGGAACGTGTAATTTTAGAATCTTCAATGGTGTCAAAATACAAAAATGGTTATACAAATTTGTTTATATATTCAGTAATAATTTTGATTCTTTATCTTGATAAACTTAATTCATCATGTATATGACCACAATGAGACTAAGGCTTCATTTAGGATGACTATTTTATTGCTTCTTAAAACGAAGCTTAAGATTTTATTTGGGACAACTTTTTTATTCCTTTCTGGAAAATGCTTTCTAATATAAAAACATTTAGTTCAAAAAATTTTTAATCTAAAAAATTAAATTATTTTAGAAAGCAGAAAGAAAACTATTCCAAATGAAACCTAAGACAAATATTTCTCTTACAAAATTTGTTTCGTTTGAGCTTGAACGTTATTAAGCTACCTTCTCAAGCTTTTCATTTGCTCTCCATGCTTACTAAATAAACCTTAGCATGCCCTATTAAGTTATGCCAATAATGAGTACTATTTTTAAGTGCCGGAAATGCAAAAAATCTTGGACCTGTATGGGATAACTAGTAGTTTTTTATTGTAAATTTTTTTTTTTTCAGTAGAATACGTTCATAATTTAATTTAGTTCACTCTACATATCCTCTTTCTAAGAAGAAATAGAAAAAAATGTTCACAACAAAACTCCAAATCTGAACATAATGAAGCTATTTAAATACACCGCATGAGAAACAATAAACTCTTCAGGTGAATCAAAGAAAGATTTTAATGCTTCCATCTACCAAATTCAATAACAACTTCTGTACAAAGTCCCAACAATAACAAAAAATTAAAAAAAAGTCCCAACAACTAAATAATGGTTTAAAAGATAAAAAACAAGCTCAAGTACTGTGTAAGGTATTGATCTATACTTGATTCCTTAAGGCGTCGTATATAAAGGCACGAGGCACATCCCTTCGGCTGACAACTTCTCTTGCATTTCCACAGAAGCTAGCAAGACATACAGATATTCATCTTCCTTTCTACTTCCGCATTCCTGCACACTGGGAGTGGTTAGTTCAAGAACAGC